GCGAAAGTAGGTTAATTGACTAATATAGATCGCAGAGAGGGATGTACCAACCCGTTCCCGTGGGATGTCTCGTGCCTTCGCAGGGACTCCCTCTTTCATTTCGCACATCGCCTCCGGATAACGCGACGTCGCATTAATGTGTAATTGGTGGCGAGCTGGCAAGGTGACACGATACCAGCCCACGCCAAGAGGGAGGCCAGCCAGTCCGGAGTCGTGTGATGTAGTGGCGGCGAGCCTGCCGCTAGCATAGACATTTTACCCGTGGAAGACGCATGGTCCTTGCTAATATGACGTTTGAAATATGGCGCAACGCGCGTTCGAAGGTGCGAGACCGGAGAGGTGCTTGGCGAAGAAAAGAGCTGGAATTGAACACGTTGAAGCCGAGGAGAGGCCAGACCGGCAAAACGAAACGCGGAAAGAAAGCGGAACGGCAAAAAGTTAGGCTTCGTTTTTACGCCGGGAGAAAGCAGCCGCGAGTCGGGAACAAATTCACCGTCTTTATATGATTTCTTGCTCGGTATTTCGTTGCCGTCTCTTCCGAAATATAACGCATTTATGATAAAAGGTATTTTATAATGTTACGTAGCAGACGACTCTATCCTGCGTTTATCGATAGGTACTATCACATTATTTTATCATTACTCCATTGTACCAACTTTTACGACTAACAGTCTTCGAACCGAGGAACTCGATCAATCGGATTCATTTATCCCAGCGAGTAAATAAAATTCCAGTTATAAAACTACTGAAAGTTTAACCGTAAACCATTGATTGCCTTGTATATTGAATTACGCGGAACTTTATTTTCTTCGTCCGGTGGAAAGAATTTCTACGCAAAAGGAATCTTTCCTTCGGCAATCCGGTGAACGGAAACGGAAACGATAAAACGGTATCACAGAAATACCGGACGCACGGTGGAATGTATCGATGAGCTCGATGAGCGAATACGAAATAATCGACTGCATAGCGAGAGGCTACGATGGCTTAGGAAACAGTTTGATCCATGCCCGGGAATGCGCATTCTTGCGATTCCTTAGCAGGACTGCAAACTCTATTCCACGGCGTTTTCCGTTGGCTGAGAAGCGAGGCCCATCCGGATTACGGAACACGAATACGTGGGAGAAGGGTTCCCCGCCGCGCCGGGAAAGCTGGAGTCAAAGCGGGTAAGTCCGTTATAGTGGAGCGAGTCGACTCTACACGCCGCGCCGCCGATTTATTCGAAAATCCATGGAAAGTGGCACGTTTCACCCGTTGTGCGGCGTGTCTAGCCCACCCCTCACGGCGTGCCTCTTCCACCCTCGCGTCTTCTTTCCCCATTCGGCCGCGTCGATTCGACGGGAGTTCGGCATCCTTGCCTACGCGCTCCCGGCCTCTCCGAGTCCCTGTATCCGAGTTTAGGTATTCCTATAGTAAGCCGGAGCCCCGGAGCCAGTTTAGCGTCCTCTCTCGCGCCCCTATCTGATTTCAATGTGGTTCGGTTACGTGCTTCAAATCAAAAACACGAACGTTATTTCTGCACGTGGTCTCCACTTTTCTCGTACTTCCCCCGTCCGAGGCTCTGTCCTCTGCTGCACCACCGTCACCCTCTTTCTTTTTCCACACCTACGGTTTCTCTTCCCTACTGCGATCGTTCCCTGTCATCCCGTAGCTGCCAGAGTTTCCCTGGCTCTCGCGCCTTCGGCCGAGTGCACGCGCGGTGTACCTGTATAGCCCCGTTCCGCTCACACATATAACGCCTTATAAACTTTTATTTTCGAGCGACGAAAGGGGGCAGGAAAGGGACGAACCGAGGGAAAGAGGTGAAAGTTGGGGGTTAGGAAGGAAGGAAGGATGGAAGGAGGACGAAACGATTCAAGCGGGAAGGAGCGTATGTTCTGTCAAGCTGTCGCTGAGAGGGAGCTCGGCTGCCAACTTATGGGACACGTACAATGCGAGCCAAGAATATTGCAGCTCCTGTCGCCCTTTTTACCCCTTTCCGCCCACTTTTCCTTCATCCAGCCGCCTCTCGTCTCGTACCGCTTCGTATCCGCGGCCGTATCTCTCTTGCAAAGTGTCGCGTTCGAAAGGGCGGCCCGCCCCTTCCTCGGATATTGAAATGTATTTAGCAAAAAAGAAGCGCATAAGTACTTGACACGGACAACCGTTTTGTAGGCGGCCCCCGTGCACCAGCCTGGGCTAACTTGTGCCGAACTGTCTGCCCCCGGTGCTTATAATGTTGAAAAACGTATGACGGCTGCCGGTACAGATTGAAAGGAGTAACGGGCCTTCTATTGCCTTCCGGGTCGGCACGGTTTTTCCTTCCCGTCTGCCAGGATCAAGCTTCTTTCAAATAACCTGCAGAACGTATGGAATCCCTGATATTAGGTTGTTACATACGTTCAATTTTGTGTAATACTAATTATTCATTAAAACGTTAATTTATGATCGTTCAATTTTTATTTTTAATGCACCTGTTCGTATTTCAAATGATGTAACCTAATAACAGAATAATTGTTTATTCTATCATTTGTTATAATTACTTTTAAATTGATTTTTACTCGGAACCATTTAATTCAACATTTTCTTAGAAACGGTGTCTCGGTCACGAGATTAACAGTTTCGAGATCCCATAAATCTTCGCGTCTCTGTATCGTATCAGTCAAAGAAGGTAGGGTATCTTTCATAGTGTTGCCTACGTGGAGAATCGGTAGCTAAGTTTCCATCGTCAACTTCAGTCCGCGCAAGTTAAGCCGCATCTTGTCGTCGTCGTCGCCGAAGTACGGATATAAAAAGCAACTCGACGGCAGGATTCCGTGACAAACGATCGCATTGTGGACGCCCGACTTCCTACCGTCTCCCCTCTTTCCCCGATCCTCTCCCCCTCCGGCCCCTCTACCCGATATAAAATCGTTGGGCGCTGCTCAGAGATTTATCTCGACTTCACGCTTTAGTGACCGCGAGCCGGAAAATGCGCAACCCGTTGCTAATTACTAATTAATTTCCAGATTTCGTTTTTCATAAAAAGCACACCTTACAATTTTTTAAATAAAAAGTGAAGATTACGGTAAGTTTTTAATTTATCTACTGACCAGAGTTAAACATGACGTCATTTAGTATATTATTGAATTTAAAAAAAAATTCTGACTCGCACGGTCAGACATGCTAGCGCATACAAGTCAGAATAAAGAATCTGGTTGGTAATCTGTCTTGATCCGGCCGTAATCCAATGGCTTACACTTGTTTCGAAGGTAACACGGCCGAATCTGTGAAACAAATTCCGTCACGGAACGGCATGTAGCGAGTCGAATGGCTAAGCGGCTATAGAAATCGCAGTTCGGTGCCGGGGTGTGCGAACGGACAGGAGGAACATCTCGCCGTTCCTTTTAATCCGAAGATTTAAATCTCACCGGCGTTGGAAGGAGCGCGGAGTAGAAAAGACTGCGTGAGATTCATTGTAAGCTATTCTCACCGGCTGCCTCGTCCGCCGCTGGAGTGATGTACGGCAATGCGTGATTTAAGTGCACAGCGTGTAATGAGAATTGTGTGCACACTTCGAGGAGGCATTCCGCGGCGCGTTCATAATGTCTGCTTCAAACACAGGGAGTTACCTATGATTCCAAGGACGAAAATTCTACTCTACTCTGTGGAATTAATTATAAAATTAATTTATAGAAAACATTTTTAAATAATCTCTATTGAATTTTATTTGGAATCTCAATAAAAATACATGTTTCTTGATAAATAAAAATTCAATTCAAATTAGTCTTACTAATTTATTTTATCATAAAGTAGAAGAGAATTTAGAGATACAGATGGATGTTTGTTTAGGGCCGCACATTTGTTCCAACAATGCTGAATCGTTGATTTGCTAATTCGAATCCCTTGCTCGATAGAGAAATACACGTTCCTCGTAAACAAGCAATTAACTATACCGAGGGGGTGGAAGAAAATGCACTTCGATCAGGTCAGGGTATGAAGCTGTACCGATATCACACCGTGGGTATTGGTGTCTCTCGATACAGAACTGCGCCAGGGGACTGTGGAGAGTAAACTCGATTGTATCTTGTTTGTACGCGCGCCACACTCAGGATCGAAAGCCCGATGAGATTATCAAGCCTATTATCCAGTGGCAATCATTCTTAAAATAGAGTTAAACGCGAACATCTTCCACGTTCTAGGCACGTAGGCGTTTCAAAGCCGTGGACACAACGAAATAGGTTAAAAGTAGTAAGTAGGATGCGAAACTCAATTTATTCATGTTTCACATGAAATATAAAATTGATTCATTTAATTGGTTTCACTGAATTTTACTGCATGATGACACATCTTCCATTCTACTAATAATATAGTAGATAGTGCAGGCAGACAAAATAATTGTGTGAGAATACAATTCCAATGTACGCATCTGTAGAGACATTATGCAAATTGTGCAGTCGGTGATTTAATGACAATTGATGAGAAATGACACGAAATGTTTTAATGTAAATTTATTAAAACAGATTAAAACAGAAATGATAACGTCGTCGCGCGTATAATAATTTTCAACATTTATGTTAACTTCAAACGACAGATTTTCATTCAGCAAGGTGTATGTTCAAATATAATTATATGTAAATGTAGTCGAAATATTTCTATACATAATGTTTATTTCTGTATTAGATGCATCGTCATTAGATTTCATCATTGTGCTCCAACTGTAAATGAGAGTTTGGCAAAAGGTGAGGATCAGAATATTTTTTACCTCTAATTTCTACGAGAGAATTTCTCTATTTTTTTGAACTGAAATCAATTTAAAATACGTTTGTCCAAATAAATTGGAATCGAATTATTTGTTAGTAACTTCCCACGGCTCGTATTTTTCTGCTAACATTGTTGATACAAATTTACAAAAAAAAGAAGACATCAAATACAAGTTTTCCTTATCAATAACGTTTTTTATACGCCCCGTGTTCCTAGGTCGAGCGTGCGTTTGATATGCTCTGATGGATTGAATGAAAATTGATTAGAAGAGGATAAAAAAATACCATTCTGCATCGTTTTTTATTGAACATCCCTCCATACTATTTTACTCTTTTTTTTTCAGATCGTATAGAAGGGAACGATTACACGAAATATGTACATTTAATTTGGAGACCGTAATTTGGTTTCGCAGAAACGTACTTCCACGATTGAAATTGTCAATTTACTGCTATTTCAAAGCCCTATTAGTTCATTTAGTCCTGAACATGAAAAATATCAATTTATATAATAAAACACCAATATTAATAATTTAAATAATACAAATTACATGATTGGAAATTTTGTCTTGTGTTGAAAGTAATACCAATGTACGTGTACATACCTTTATTTTTAGAGTAAAGTAATACAATACTGACTTCGACTTACAAAAGTACATTATTATTTTACGATCACAATTCTGTCATTCTGTTGTGGTAATTAAATTATTCTGTTCCTACATTAATTAAATGAACCAGTCGACTCATAACATAAATACGTAATGAAACAACAGAATCGTATTAAGTATAAAACAGATGACATTGATGTTAGAGTTTATATTATAGATACATTATAAATATTCCATCCATGCAAATAACCCGTTCAATATTAAATTTCTATTACACCTATTACACAATATAATATAATAACCATGTACATACTTAATCATATCACAGATTGACTTACTTTACATATAAGTGAAGAATTTGATTAAATAATCATAGAAAACATATGAAAATATAAAAGGCGTAAGTCTATGATCATCGGACAGACTTATGTTGAATTTATCTGATTTATAATATTTAATTGATGTACATGTAAATTAGTAAAATTAAGAAGATTAAGGAAATGACTGCCTTATGTTATAAAGGGCAAGTTATATTTTGAATTTATCAATCATCAAATCGATCATTCACATTTGGTGGATGGTTTCCGGATGCTTGCTGCCACCTTTGGCGAAAGCTCGGTGCACCGGTAACGACAATACCTTCATTTACATTTACTTGCCATCCACGTCCATACAGTACGGTTTCAACAGCCGTCGATCGAAAACTAGAACGCGACCGATGTTGCAGGGACCTTGCTCGCCTTCTCTGTAGCATCGACGAGTACCCGGCCACAGAATTGTGTTCCCAGGACATTTGGTGGCGAGCTTCACATATTCCACCTGGTCGGGAAGGTAGATGAAGTCGCTATCCACGTACAAGCTCATACCGTTCGTAGGACACGTAAAAGCGCACCAAATCCAGATGCATAGTCCTGCGATCGCCAATAGGAAACGCATCCTTGTTAAAGAATGGTCCAATCGTCCAGAGTTTGAATTCTAAAAAGATAATGTCAACCTCAGTTAAAAAGTTTAAACTTATATAACTACTATTAAGACTTCGCTCGTATTATGAATTCGTAGAATTAATTATAAAGTTATTTATAATCATCTTTGATAAAAATTAAGGGAATGTGTCAAACATGTAAAAGAAAGAATATTTTTGAAAATTCATGTCATGTCTTTTTGACCTCTTAGAGATGATACAGTCTTGAAGATGTTGTCTAACATTTGAAAATGAAAATTGAATTTGTAAGTAATAAAACTTCAAGGATATTCAGAAATCCATAAAAACACATTAATCCTGTTAGGAGTTGATCGAGGCAAAATCTCTTTTTAGTTCATTCTCTACTACGTCATGAAAGCCCCTGAATGAGATCTCAGGCCCTGAGATAGAATCCTGTATGGAGATAGTATCATGAAATTTCTGTTCTCCTTCAAGATGTCCTCGTCAAGAATCGAGGATACTTACTATAAGAGGATATCCTTATTTTTACCATAAAGATTGTGTTCCCGTTTCAGGCTACCAAGGTTTATTACTTAACTGGTTAAATGATTCTTTAGTTGACCTTCCTTTTTTAATTTAAAGTTAAAGTGTAACGCAGGCGAGCGACAGCACTTTCTCTTCGTTTTTACAATGAGATAAACGAAGAAAACCATACAATCGCAGCGCGGAGTCGAGCAATAAAAGGTCACTATTTAAGACACTAGTGCTAATAGATATTTTCATAACAAAAGACTTTCATTGCATGAAATCATATTTCAGAAATTACAGTCTGAATAAATTGAATAAACGTAATTACTCTGCAAATGATAATTTAAATACGGACATTGACTTTCAAAGAGGATTATTTTTAAACACCAATTATATTTATGAAATTCAGCAACAGGAAATCGTGATTTTCATTTTCTCCTCCTTTAATTTATATGTACGAAACACATAATATGGTGATAAATATTTGCTCCGAACAAATTTCGATCACGTGTATAATAACTGGAATATATAAATCCATAGATATTAATCGTAAAGGAAATCATCATGCAAATTTATTCCCCGCCCGATTCGGAACAGTTGTTTGTTAAGGTTAAAAAATAATTAAAAACCGGCGCGCCACGGGTGTATCTTAATTACAGCGAACGTATCGTCGCTTTGCGTATCGCACCCGCGTTTCCAGCTTCCTTCCAGCCGCAAAATTGTAATAACAATTTGCGATCACCGTCGCCATTTTACCCGGGATTAAATTCCCGCCCCGACTTTCAGTTTCGGCTGATAAATTACTGCGTTATAAAGTGAGTTCTGTCATTATCAATCCTGCTGATATGCAAAATAAATTCGATGGACAATTTTCATATGCAAATAAAACTGATGCTATTAAAATGTACAGAATTAAAAAGCTTGTGTCAATGTTTCCTCATAAATCATATATAATCAAATGCTACAGTATATATTTTTTATAATGTGGGACAGACAAGTAAACCTGATAATTAATCGAAATATTAAATGGTGGAAACAATTCGAATTTTTTGCATAAGCAATGCGTAAGCAATTCTTAAAATGAATTCCTAAATTGAATCCCACACCACAGATTTTTCGTGTATCAACTGTTAGAGCAGTGTTAAAGAACATTTTATTAAAAATCTGATTTAACCGGAAAGCTTAATTCCCGAGGATGGCTGGGTGCTTATGTGCTTATAATTGCACAGTCCGTTTACCTCGTCGTTTTCGATTCTATACTTTGCAATAATTCCTATGTTGCAGGAGTCGTCTGGCTCTTTAATTTACTATGAAACCCGGGCCGGGCTCGTTACCGAATGAACGTATTATAATTCAAGTGTGTTTCGAGTTGTATAAATTCAGGAACACAAAGCAACCGCGTGCCGCGTCGCACCACTACGAAAGATTTAATCTTCGTTACGATAGAGTCGTACAATGGATGTTGCCCGGAGTCTCGAGCAGCCCCCCAGAGCTTTTACTCTTTACGGGTCGCTGTAAAAATTTACGTTTCCACGATCCTGTTGCTAAACTCGAGGACTCCACGATTTTATTCTTCTCTTTCTTTTTTTTTGTTCAAACTCCAGTACATCGGAGGACAAAGCGTATCATTTTTATCGCGGGCACGACGAATCGAGGTGTACGCGGGTCTCGTGGCCGAACGCCGGCGTTGCATATCCCAAGCTTTGTTCTGCATGGAAAATTAAGTTGGAACTTCTCCCTGTGCGAGTAACCCCCAGACGAGCCGCGAATTCGTGATAACGAAGAAACAAACGCGCTCCCCATAGTCGGGCACCGCTTTTTCAAAACACTCGACGTAATTTCTACACACGCTCCTTTTCACGGGATAAGTTTACGACCGCGCCGAGAAGTTTGCTCCTTTGTGGTACAAATGGCCAGGAAACGTTTATGCACGTGATAAATCTGACCTCACGTTGAACCTCACAATTTTCCCTCTTGTTCAGCCAATTTAAGAAATTCATTTATTCTTAGTTCGTCAAGAGAACATATAAATAAAATCTTTGCACGATTGAATAGTAACACGTTGCGATCTTAATAAATATTTATTAACGCAGCGTAATGAAATTTTATATCAATCATTCTACCTCGCTTCGTTTTATCGGCTAACGAGGAAATATCATGGGTATAATACGTAATGTGAAAAAGAATGAAAGAACAGGAACATTAATTATTTTCTCTAACACGTCTCACCGTGAATCCCATCGTATCGCTATTCGCGATTGCATAAACTTCGAATGCATGTACGTAGGTAGGAGGATGTTCATAAATTAGTCGCGGATCAAGGAATTAAAATTACCTTCGGTGAAACGAAACGAAACGGGCAACGCCCAACGATCGGCTACCATCTCGTTGTTCATAATACAATAGAAAATAACGCGAACCAAATTCGCGTAAGCCGCGAATAATAATAATTCATCGTGCCTGCCAGCGATCGCCGTTTTCATTCTCTATAGAGCGTAACGCGAATCCGCAACGTTCCATCGATTATATTCCCTAAATAATTCGCAATATCGTCGGTGGACGATTTTTAAATAATTAGAAAGCACCGCATGAAATAACGGATTCGAGATGAAGTAAGTAATAAAACGAAACAACAGTGACGCTGAAAGAATAAGAATATAATGAATATTAATGGGAACGTCAATTGGCTTAATTTATTCTTGAAACACGGCAGTCCTGCTGAATAATTCCAAGTATAAAGTCAGTGTGCGTTGTTGGAGCTAATGTATATGAGACGCGAAATTTTACATAATTCAAATTGAACTTACGCCTAGGCGCAGGGCTTCTAGGCAACGAGATTAACGATTACTTCGGACTCACGTTTGCTCGTTTATTTTCCCTCCTTTCGCACCGGACCTTTGTTACCAGGTTAAAATTCCCGAAGTTGCACTTTCTCACGTAGACCAATCTTGCCTCATCGCATTAATATTGAATTCGGTAATCGCGCTGCACTTGCCAGCACGCGTGAGCGAATTGAGGCACCGTCGGGGACTGAGAAGTCTCGTGTGTCAAAAGTTAATTTTACGGCAATCTCTCCGAGTAGGAATCTCGACTTGGAGGTGGAGAGTGCGACGAAGGAGTAGGAGAAGGTATCGTCTGCCTTCGGACGTGTCGTTAGGCCTTGACGAGGAGACGGGAAGGGGTTAACAAGCAGGTGATCAGCCCGCTGGATAACTGGTCCGATCGTGAGAGGACTACGTTTTCGTACCCGGGATCCCTTCTAGACCTCTCAGGGGAAATGAAAGAACGTATTTATATCTCCGGGATAACGCCGGTCCTGCTCGATAAATAGAATCCTCGGGAATTTATACGATTAACTCCACTGTTTACGCCCGGACGTTGTCTTCAAGAGAGTTCCTCTCGTTTTGCTACTTGGCCAGATCAGTTATCTGCGATTTAAAGACCGGCAGCGAGAAAGCGATTAGTAACTTCCGAACTTCCATCTCGGACATTTTGCTAATGAACGAAACTTTCCTTTGAGGAAGTTACCTCTCGCATGGCGATCATTAGCGTCAAGGCGAAATTCATGTTAAATGATGTACAAGGATGGCAAGCTTCGAATAATTAGATCAAGTGGTTTGCATCTTCTACATAAGCAAATATTTTAATGTCTGTACCGCTTGTACGTTTTTATGAAACGATTTTAAATCAATGGCGTACTTCTCATCTGTTTTCCCACACTGCCTAGAGATGATTCGTTACAATGACTCGTCTATTGGTCGTTTCTGACGTCAAAAACGGTTGCACCGTGTCAGTAAGTGGGAATTTCCGAGGAACGATGCCTCACGCTACAGATGTACGTGCATATGTATAGCGCAGACGCATACGTATTCGATGCTTTTTCTACGGTATTGGAATTGCTATCACGACCACGGCCATATAACGACATTATGAAATTCCGATCGATTCACTGAATCAGAACGCGTCGCGCAATTTAGGGAAGTCATTAGGTAATTCCATATCGTGAACAATATGTCAAATCAGAATGCAGATGAACGCAGTGGCGAATCTATTAGTAATCAATATTGAAAGCAATGTAAATAATTTCTTACTCAACGGTACGCACGAGTCAATAAGAAGTTATTCGAGATTATGTTTACTGATTTAAAACTGAGTCTCATATTTGTCATTTGATCATCTGTCATATTTTATATGTATAATAAATATATTCAATTGTGACAAATTATTTTGAAAGCGATCAATCAAGTAATGCAAATATTGATAACACAGGAATGATAAGGATTACACGGTTCACTGGCCTGACACCTTGAAACCGTGATTAAGTCCATTAAGTAATGTCGCACTGTATTTCACTTCAAGCGGAGGAAAAACTTGATTTACGAGCTGAACGAGGAAACGATGATTCATACATATTTTCATTCGAGTTTAGCATATTCATTCACTTGATATGGCCAATACAATTTCATCATGACAAACAACAACACAATAACTCTATTACGTTTGAAAACGGTACTTTATTCATACGTTATAAAATACTTGAAACGTATAAATTGAAAATGACGTAAGTTGAGTCATTCTCCCATCGGAAATTATTTAATGTTGTTAAAATATTACAGAAGCTCTTTGTACATTTATTTTTAATCGACGATTCAATTTATATTGCGAATAAGTTATACACGAATGAAGGGAAAGTCTGTCGCGGGGAATCACCTCGTGATTCGGAGTTGGAAAAATGATTCAGTTCTCTGAACGATTTCGCGGTATATTTTTCATAGAACGTTGGACGTTTAGTTATTGCACACTGTGGACCACAAAGAAGAATCCCGAGCTCATCAATTGTCTGTCCGGAGCAAATGGAAAATTACTCTCCCGCTTATAGGTTTCCGTGGTTAAGTGGCTACAAAAGTTAAATAGAGGCTGGGATGTTGACGATCGACAGGATTGCGGTCCAGAAAATTGAACGAGACCAGATCAATGTTTCTATTTTATTTTTTTTTTTTTCATCCTATTCGACGTCCATAAACTCCATTTCGTTTAAATGATCCATCCTGTTGGCAATTAAAAGGGAATGAAATTGGATTATTCTAGAATGATACACGTAATACTGTTTTACTTTTTCAATGCGTGGAATACGTAATACGTTCGTCGTACTATTTCATTTGAACTTTTTTGCATCAGCGAGAATACATAGTAAAGAATGTATGCATCGAGTTAATATAAAACTGAACACGAGTGTGGGAATTGAGGGAATAATTTTGTAAATTAACAAGTTAATTGCGGAATTGGCTTGATCTGAAATTTGATTCAACTTCGTATACGCTAATTGTTTATTTAATCAATACTTCTGTTTTCTATTTTACTATGTATTCTATGTACAGGAGTCAGCGGTAAACAGCCGATAATTGCAAATCGAGTCGTTTATGAACGTTTTTCAGTGTTGGACGATGACCACTTTGTAATCAACGCTCGATGCGGATCAGAAGTTAATCACCGTGAGATACTGCTCGTAAGCACTTTAATCGTCGCGAAAATTCAGGAGTTCGCAGTTTTCCCGCTTTTAATTGCGATTTGATTATACCTGCAAAAACTGCTTACAAATTGAACGTTCGAAGCTAGACACGTCAGCCGATAGAAAATTGCCTTCTTAAAACAGTCCATCAACTTATATTAAGACAAATTGTAAAATAAACAGACGTGTAATAATGTGGCCAAATGTAAAATAAATGGACGTGTAATAGGAATTATAACTTTTCACTAAATACAATTTAAATGTTTTCACGAATTCGACGCATATTTTACGCAATTTCATTCATAATTGCACATAGTCGCTGCATGCAATCATCTATAAAATAACACAAGGCATTCAAAGCAATTAACTTATATGATAGCCTTCCTTAAGCAGTTAGCAACATAGGTGTCACAATACGTCATGAGTTTTTATGTGCCAGTCATCCACGTATAAAATGTTTTCTTAAGCTATATTACGTTCGTGAGGAAAAAAATGTATGCATAATCAGTGGGTTCGACACAAATATTGGTTATGCACATCACATCTATGAGCATTCGTAACAGAATTCTTGAATAAATAAACCATTTATGCAATATCGTAAGTAAACATGCATTGCACGATAAACTACGTTGCCTAATATCAGGAATATTCCAGTTTATGATCAGAGCGAATTAAAAATACATTTGGGAATATCCCAGATATCGATTTGAAGGCCAATGAAACCAGCTAAAGAGGAAAGTCGTTTTAATGTTTAATACTACTTGAATTATTCTGATTATTATACGATTAAATGCTTCCACATTGAAAATCGCACGACGGCTATGAATCGTATTCTAAATACTTGATCATTTTCGTTATTATTAATCTTGTACAATTTTCACTTTCAACTGACAACTCCAGTTTCATTAAAATAAGACGGAATCGTCACTTTCGGCGAGGAAGATATTCCACTGAATTCATTAATAGCAGAACTGTTTTTTATGATATCATTTATCTTAATAATCCTTCAGCTTAAGGACGCAATTAATCAGCCATTGAAGTCATGAATAATTCATTCTTTTAGGAAAATGGGGGAACCTCTTCGAAAATATTCAACCGTAACCGATCTTAATTCGTGCCATTCAACCCCGCCATTTAATTCGAGGCCACTTTTATTGGCAGGCGCAAAGCGTTCTCTCCTCTCGCATTGCACTTTCGTTCCGTTTAAGCTGAAATTGATAATAGCTCGGTTCATCGGTCATATCACGTGACTCTACTCTCCCCCCTGGAAGTAACAGGAAATCAGTTGAAGCAGCAAAGAAAGGAGAGCTGCTCATAAGGTTAAAGAAATAAAATCAAATAGGAAACAAAATTGTGAAATATTCTCTGAGGAATTTTTCAAAATACGTGTGACTCTTTTATTTGAGAAAATTAGAAAATAATTCACATATTACGCTGAGACAATGGAGCAAGACAAAACTTGAAACTATCCAAGTATCTAAAGTACGGAAGAGTAGTCAGTGTTCATACTGGCGCTATTCTACCGTACAAGGAATAATATGGTAATGGTAATTCCATGTTGTCTGGTCAAGGGAGCTCGCTCGTACGAGAATCGGCGAAGCCAACGTCGGAATAGCCCAGGGGATCTACGAATAATTCAACGATTTGCGTGATCGCGCAAAAACCGTCCGCAGAACCACGGTGAACGTGAACAAGGGGCGTTGGCGTTACAGCCGATATGAGATTGTTGAGCGCGAGCCAAGAATGGTAATTTTTCCGAAATGGGCACCGCGATGAAAGGATTATTTCGCCGCCGCCGGTGCGCCGCGACGCTCGAGCTAACACGTTCTAACGAAATTCACGAGATTTATTACCCCAATTTTTAGATCGATAAGTTTTTCTCTCAAAATTGTCTAATCCATTATTACCCATTTTTATACGAAGGTATTGTTGCTTATTAATTATTGTGTTCAGAAATGAGGTAAAAGTTGAAGTAAAATTGTACATAAAATATTTCAGTTTCCAAGAATCGATTAATAAATAATAAACATATTATTAATTAGAATAAATAAATTAACAATGCTGATAAAAATAATGTTTGTCTGAAATAATTCAGAAAATATTTCATATAAGATTGTAGTCAGCAATCTCGTCATCCGTCCATCCTTCATCCAAGATCCTGGGGAAAAACGGTAGCACGTTTCGTTACGTTAGTACTTGACAGGATCAGTTTTTTAAGACTCGCAAGCCCTTTCGCTGTATTCTGTTGGAAGACAGCTTTGCATGAAGAACAGTTGGAAAATGAAAAAGGAGGACGATTTGAAGATGATCTGAGAACCTTCCTAGCCAACCCGTTGGTCTCTTCGAATGACACGACTTAAACCACTCTATGACAAAGAAAATATTGCGATTATGTTCTTTTCTCGCAGTCTCCTCTTTCAGTCTTCGTTCCTTTGTAAATATGAAACGTACGAAATTATTTCGGATTAAGTGAGAGGATTTATTGATAGATTTTATGGAATATGATTTAACAGACTGTATTGAATAGTAGCAATCAATGATTAATTACGA